AAAAAAAAAAAAAAAAAAAGAGTTGCAGGCGGGACGCATTCATTAATGCATCATATAGGTAGGCGCTCAATGAGCAACAGGTCATCTGGGCAACCGGAGAACAAGACACGATCCCATCAGGAGGCAGCGACTGTCTGCACACCCAGCACGGTGCTGGGCCCTGTAAGGTTGCCAAGTGGGGATTAAGCGCCCGCTGGGACTCTCCAGCTGCAACAGAAGCCACACCACCAATCAGTCAGGGGCCAAAGGCAGGGGAGGGGGGTGTAATTACCCACCAAGTATCACACGCTAGGCAGGCAAAAACACGCTGTCTTCCAGCTGTTTGTGTACCATTAGAAAAGAAATTAAGATGTCATTAGGAAGAAATTAAATAATGTGCATGTTGTCGTGACAATAAAGATTCAGGCTGCCAGATCCCGCCTGAGCAGGGATTGCCCACACCCAGCCCCTCCTAGAGATCCACGAGAGACAGAGCGAGAGAAAGATGAAGCGGGGCACACTGCCTTACCAGTCGTCTTCCCCTTGTAGAAAATCTTCATGTCCATCAGCCCCGTGAGCTGGCTTGCCAGAATCGCCATCTGAGAGCCGGTGTACTTGGAAGCTCGGAAGATGCTGAGCTGCGACCAATCATCCCAGTAGATTTCATTCTAAAAAAAGAAAAAAGAAAACCGTGCTCGTTAGCGTAGTTCCTTGGTCTCCTGTTCTGGACCCTCCGTGAGAACAGGGGTTCGCCCGTGCGGGGCGATGCCTGACGGTCACTGGTGAATGACCAGCCTCATCGAGATTCCGCCGAAATGCAAGGCAGCGGTTTTATCCAGACCTCACCAAAGAGCCGCACAGAAGGAACCGCCCGAAGGAAACTATCCGATGGGCAATCAAGTTTGCCCACGGTCCAGCCCTTCGGTTCGAAATCTGCTTCCCAACGTCGGGGAGAAGCGACCATTCTGTTTTCTAGAGTCGAAGCAGGAGCGACGGGCAACACAGCTGGTACAGAGCTCATCTGAAGCCATCAGGGCACGAGGCGGACAAGCCTCACAGGAGATGACACGGAGCCCAGACTACCGGCACTCAAGGGCAAACGGGGATTTTTCTGTGAAACAACCTCAACCTTTAATCTTTTGAAATGTGAACAGTGAGCAGCCCGGCAACTGTGACATCCGTAAAGGATGTCAGGGAAAGGAAACTGTAAAGGAAACTGTCTCAAATTCAGAAATGAGCTGGTTTTCTAGAAGTAGACAAGCATCTCTGTAAAACAAGAGCAGCTCTTCACCTCGGTACACTCTTCCCCAGCTCTAACAGACCGCCCAAGGTGGGAGCAAAGGAGTCCCCACCTTAAAGACGGCGATGGCGTAGGGGTGGGGGAGGTTGTCCAGGATGACGGAACGCTGTTGGCCATCAAAGGTGATCCGCTCGATGCAGTCCAGGTAGGCGTCTGTCCAGTAGATCCACTGGTCATCCACAGCGATGCCGTTGGGCCACTTCACGTCCTCTGACACGAGACGATGCACAGCAGAACCGTCCATGTTGCTCCGATAAATTCCTGGCTTCAGGTCTCCCCAGTCAGTCCAGAACATCACCCTGGTCAAAACCGGGAAAGAATGCACATCACATCAGACCTGGGGAAAGGTGGGGGGGGGAGGGGGTGGTCACATGCTACCCCAAGGAGGTAAGAAGCCCATCGACAAACATAAGGCCAGTTCGTTCAGCATTATTGTTATAATCTGTAATTGTGAACTTAAGATACTTAACTTCTTGACCCAGGAATTCCTTTACTGGAATTTAAACAGATATAATCAAGTTACGTGACTGCAATATACAAAGCTATTCATCACGGCATCATTCTCACTAGCAAGTGCGTATATGTATACATACGTGTACACGTATATGTATTATGTGTGTATAGATACACACACACTCTTAGGTGGATATATATGTATACACACCGAAACGTCAATATACAGAGAAAGTGACAGACTGTGGTATACACAGAAGAGTGTCACGAAGCCTGAAAAATCTACAAGCGCTCACATGAAAACGTCATCTTCAAACCACGTTAAATATTTTTAAAACATGCAGAACAGCAAATGTCCTCCGACTCTGTCTGACACACGGGCATGTACATGTGTTTTAAGGATACACGCTTGTATACGGGTAAAAGAGAATTCTGAAAGCTACACAAGAAACCACTAATCATGGCTACCCCTAGGATGCATGAGCGAGAAGGGTTAAGAGTGAGAAAGGAGGAAACCAGTAGTTTTCATGTCATAAACTTCTGCTCTCGTAACGTTTTTAATCAGGTACATATACATTTTTTTCTCTTAAAAAGCAGATCAAATTCTGTATCATAAACATTAGAAGGACTGAAAACCTAGTCCAGAATTTCCTTTCAGCTATGTTTCCTTAAGTTAAGAAATTAATAAAAAGCACCTTTGCATTTCCCAGGTGCTTACAAATTGTTAGTAGGAGAACCCACCCATGCTTGGGGGGCGGTGCACAGGAAAAAGATGGACGGGATCAAATGTTTGCATCATGCCTCAAACTCCAGGTAAAGATCCTTACGGTATCCAACCAGGCCTGACCACGCCTAACCAAGAGACTTGCTTTCAATACCCTTCGTCGGAGAAAACACCCCACAGATGTGAGACATCTGGGTGCAGAGACTCTGATGCTCGGGAACAGAAAGGGAGTAGAGTCACCTGACCAGATGACTGAGCTCTGGCTTCAAAACTCGAAGTCAACAGGTTATTTCAACCATAATCATCAGAAACAAGTCTGTGTCCAGCAGTTTGCATTTCCACGAAAATCGGTCTGCTGTAGCATCCGACACGTGCTGACTTCCTCTGGGGCCACACTTACCCGTCTTGGGGCAGGAGGACCAGGGCCCGGGGCCGATCGAGCACAGAGGAGTTGACGATCGTGAGTCGGAAGTCACCATCTGGATTAGCTACCTGACAAAAAAAAAAAGG